ACTAACTATTTYCATCTACCTCTACATGATATATCTCCATGTTATCCTGATGAATCTTCCAACTCCTAATTTGGGCCCATAGTCTGCTGCTTCTTCTGCCAAGGTAACCAATCTCTCTGATCCAAGATCACAAAGCTGCCTGCAGAAAATGGGCTTTCTTTTTAAAGGCATCTTTCAAGTTTAAGATTCAGAGGATCCTCCAATCTGAAAAAATACAAAGTTCATACCACTGATCTGATTGCTCTGAGAGAGTGGAAGACAGAAGCACAAGGGCAAAAAAAACCCTTAACACTTGACAAGAAACAGAAATGAAGAATACACTTAACAGATGTTTATTGCAGTGCCCTCTAAAAAATAATCTAAATACCAGAAACGGTAGAGACTGTATTACTTATAACAAGCTCACTACTGAAGTCCTCTATACCTGMTGACTCAAATATGGCCAAGCATGAACGGAAAAAGCTCCCTAAAAAGACTGAGACCAAAAAATGTACATAAATATGTAATTTGTTAAGTAGAGTAATTTGTCATTTGTAAGTATGTAATTTGTTGGTTGTTTGGGGGTTCTTTTGAGTGGCTATCAATTGAGTCTGGTGTCACAGACTCCAATCAATGACACATTTAGCACACTCCTTCACTTAATGACTTTTCACTCAAATCTGCAATTATAATTCTCTGGTGATACCAGCTGCTARCAATAGTTCTCTGTTATAGTGTGAGGGAACAAGTAGAGAATTGCAAGCAGACATTCAAAGTCCCTTTGCTTACCTTGCTGAACAGGGACACATTTGGATGGTCTGCTAATAGCAGGGTACAACAACTAAGTCTGCAGCAATTACTAGATTGCTGCAGAAGGTGGTAAGRGCCAGGGCACCAAGAGGTCCACAGGGAATGTTACCATTTTAAGGATAATCCTCTGTGAAAGTATTCCAATCCCTCCAAATGAGTATAGCTACAAATATGACAAGTCCTGGCATCATCACACTGAATTTTGAAAGCAGAGTCTGAAGGCTGCTGCTGCAGCCTGTAGAGTCTGCCACAACCACCTATTTTTCCTGCTGTATAAAGTGGGCTCACTGCTCCACTGCAATTAAATCCTGAAGGATATCAGACTGAGAWGCAATCTATACACTAGTATCATCCTAACCTTGCTCCCAGAGCACATACACTTTTAAAAATTTATTTCAAAGAAAATAAGCTCAACCCAGCAAGCATGCAAGGAACAAATACCAGAGAAGTGCTCAGCACTTGGATTTACAAAGCATCTTTGTCCTTATGCACAAGTTCTTAAAAAAAAAAAAAAAGTCAATTACTTGTTTTGCAATAAAACCCATGAGATCCATTCTTTTAAGCACACTTGTCAGCCTSCTTCCACAGAGGAAACTGCACACCAGAACAGCAGAGTCATGGCATCCACTTCAGGATCAACAATCTCAAAAACAAAACCAAAACCACATAGCATGAAATAATAGAAAACTCCTTTCAACTACTTTCAGACTGATTATCTCTATTTAAAATGCAGATTTCACCAAGTCCTTCTCAGAAAATAATCTTCAGGATTKACTGACAGTAATTGGAACCAGACACAGTGCGCTGGCCAAGCGGCTCATTTTGAAAACATTAACTCCATATTATAGAACCAATCTTACATCAGCTCTGACAAATAGACTTGGAAAATTACTGCTTTCATAGCCTCTCAAACACCATCTCCCCCAGAATCAAGCCRCCTCCTTCAATAACTTATAACAAACGAAAATTAAAATAGACTTTCCTAGTCTTCAAATGCCAGAAGTGTAACTGATAAATTTGACTTATGTTTCCCTACCTGAGTAAGAGTTAAAATTTAGTAATTGGACTACAATATGAGACATACAGCTTTTTGGAAAAGACAGAAGTAACTTTTAGTAGGAATTATTTTTCTAAATAATGAAAATGATTTTTGATTCTCAGACAGATTGCTAAAAATTTTGCTAACCTACTATTAAATTAGTTGGGTTTTTTTACTGCATTCTACACCAAATTACCCCAAGAATCACTGAATCATAGAATATGATGAGTTGGAAGGGACTCATGAGGATCACAGTGTCCAATTCTTGCCCCTGCACAAGACAGCACATGAATCAATCACACCATGTGCCTGCAAGTGTTGTCACCTACTGAAGTGGTRGGAGATTCCCACCATACTTGTGCCTAAGAACTCAAAAGTATAGAGTCCCACCAACTTCTGGAAGGAACACAGAACAAATCCAGATTAAATTAATTTCMATCATAAGGAGTTAACAAATATTTATCAAAGGCAGAGTGTACCCAACTGCTGCGCGGCCCTGATGAAAGCTGAATGGCCCAGAGAACATCTCTTTCTTGGACTTTAGGACAACTTCGAGGACATGTCTCCCACTGCAGGATCACCTGGGAGCTGAGGAGCTCTGAGCTCCAGGAACAGAAGGGAAGCTGACCTGGAAAACTGGCCAGACTCCTGGATCATACAGCTGCAACCAGCAGTTGAACACCCAGTTACAGCTTGGCTTGGGAGGAATCCAGGGGCTACCCCAGGGCTYCAAACACTCAGCAGCACCCAGCAAAGGGGGCAGAGTGCACCCTCAGCAAAGTGGCAGGGGACTGGAAAGTGCAGGAGCACAGGGAAGAGAGGGCTCACACAGGGAATGGCAGCACTTCCACAAACATAAACAGACCTGGATAAATCCAAGGCTGGAGACAAAGCAAACCTCATCAGGCCCAGGGCAGGAAAAAGCACAGAGCTGTGCCCCCAGGGCAGAAGAGCCCCGTGCCCCAGCACAGGCTGGGGAGGGCTGGCACAGCAYCAGCTCTGCGGGAAGGAACCCAGGCACTGGGGCAGATGCTGGAGGGAAYGGGAGCCAGTGGGAAGGGGGTGATCCTTGCCCAGCTGGATGCTGGCAAGGCCACTCTGCACAGACCTGGTCCCAGGTGGGGATCCCACTTCAGCAGGAGCCTGAGGAATCAAGGAGTCTCCAGCCCTGGGCTACCCAGGTGGTCAATGGCCTCGGGGGCATCAGCCACAGGGAGAGGCTGAGGGAGGGGCCTGTTTCCTCAGGAAGAGCAAAATATGGGACCATCTGAGACTGTCYACAGCTACACCAAGATGGGAGCTGTAAAAACAATGCRAAGAAACACTCTCATCCCTGGTAGACAGGATAAGGAAGAGCAATGGCCACAAAAGGCAGYGTGGAAAATTCAGTGGACACAACAAATCTTTTTCACTTGGAAGGTGATGAAGCCCATGCACTTSTTTCAGAGAGGCCGTGGATTTGCTGTTCTTGGGGGTTCTCATGGCTTCATGGGTCAAARCCACAGCTTAGCCCACYAGGTGCTATCCCTGCCTTGAATGAGTGGTTGGACCAGAGACCTCCAGGAAGTCTCTTCTGACCATTACACCTGCAACTCCATAAATTCATTAACTCCTGTGATGGGCTTCCAGCAACTATAGCCTTGTTTATATAATTGTCCTCAGACATAACGAAGTCAATATTGGATATAGAACTATCCATAGATTACATCAATACAGTCTTTTCTATAAATAACCAGGTATTATCAATAGATTCCACTGCCAGCAGGTCCAACAGTTCTGAAATCACAAACATTTGATGTTAAAGCTATTTTTATCAGCTGATATAAAWTATTTTAAAGAGTAAATTACAGAGAAAATTACAGTTGCATACCTAAGCCTACTGTATTTAAATATGCTGCCAAACATTATCCCATGGTCACCTCTGTAGATGACTCAACGTTCTTCCAGAAAAAAAAACAAAAAACTTGAAGATTATAATTTTGTGCCAGTATATTAAAGAAGAAGCAATATGAAAGATATTTTTACTTAGCTTGCATGCAGAAACTCCCTCAAATTCGAAAAAGGCAGCAGAATTTTTCCCAYAATACCCAATTTTGAATATGAAAACTTGAAAATGTGTCACTCCGAAGCGATGCTTTAYATTTAAGGACTGACTACTGATTTTCACTCTATTTTTTGTTTCTTCCCAGTATTGAACATGGCTTTTCGAATCATATCCTAAGCAGAGAAGATGGACAGTATGACCCAAACTGTTCTTGTCACACTACAAGTGCAGTGCTTCAGTAATAATCAAAATTAAACCATTTACAGTAAACAAACAGTTTAGAAGTAACTTAGGAGTAGAAGGACTGGTTCCYACAACTCACTCCCAGGACAATGCAGATTAAGCATTGCAATTCAATGCAACAGACAAAATAGCTTGGTGAAGGGGAAATCTAGATCATTATCTGACTTTAAAATCCTCAGGTTTTGGTACTTCTGTTCCAGAAAACCTGGAATTCCCACGCTGTCACCAAGTTTCAAATTAACAATGAGAGCTACTCAATTTTCTCAAGATTAGTGCTAAAATGAACTCTCTTCCTTGCGTTGACTGATGCTTTTCACACCTTTTGGTTAACTAACTAAAGTATTCATCTTAAAAAAAAACAAACCCCAACCCTCTGCCCACATTAGTGGGTGGTATGTACAACAACGGGAGGAGATCTGCAAAACCAAACAGTTTGTGCTAAAGACATTATTTAAACTACATGAATTCCATGAGATGTCACTTCAGAATGGGCTCTAATCCTACCTAAAGTCTAAATATTCTTAAACCAAACCCATCAGTGAAGTCTAGAAGCACATGCTTCAATTCTTCCAAAACATGATTTGCATGTTCAGCAGGATCAGCAGCAAAGAATGCCAGCACCCAGCCTACAGTGACAGCATTCTGGGGATAACACACAGCTATTCTCAAGTTAATCTTGAAGCAATATTTATTAGCTCTGCAAAATACAGAGTAATGCATAAGAACAGCAACTACGTGAAGCTGAATTCTTTGCCGTACCTCAAACAGAAAACAACTGCGCAACAAGAACATAATTTAATGCAACTTAGTATTGCTTTATAATTAATCTTAATGAGGGCGGCTGTTGCACAAYGGCTGTTCCAAAAACATGAAAAGAATACTTACACCACAGAGTCTGACTAGTGGTATACTTTCAGGATGGTTTAAACTGAACATGGTAAAAGCACTGTGGCAGGACAGTAGTCATGCTCTCTGTCTTCCAGCTGAGGGATTCATACTTCCTCTACTGCGACACGAATTTTTGGACTTCATGATGCAAGTTACTTAGACAGCCACTATATTAGCTGCAAAATAATCCTGGAAAAAAAATAAAGAAAAGATAAGTTTTCTGCCACAGCAGGCAGATGATCTCAATCAATGGARAGCAGTTCGATCCTTAGCACTGACAGGAAAGTACAGCATGGGCCAGGACTGCCTGTTTTGGTGGCAAGGTAGTACTAAACCAAGACAAGTGAATTGTTTAACCACAACAGAATCTTCCCTTCCCCCTAAAAAGACAGAAACACCTAAGACCTCTGGTATCAACATTTTGAATGAGGAACAGTAATGTGATCAAAATGTAGATCTATCTCAGAGTAAACAACAAAAAATGAATTTGGCAAAGCCATATTTCCTGAAACATAATATTAACTTTGCAACCATTTAGACGCAGCTTCAATACTTCCCTGCCTCACAAGAGGAACCTGACATTCGAAAAAAAAACAACAGCAGAAGAACATCAAGTTGCTTTTCACTCTCTGCATCAAAGTTCACCCCCACTACAAGTCTGAACACTGTCCTTCAGCCTCTTTTGTTAACACTGCACATTAACATGGAGCTCTTCCCACAGACTTCTGTGCCAAACACAGTCAGCAGACTCCACCTCCATGGAAATCAGCTGAGCAATTCCACAGCAATCGCTTTTCCTAAATGCTGGAAAGAGCTCCAAGTCTGTTTTGTGTTCCCAGYGCTCCCCTTGCCAGTACTTGGTACACTGCAGGTTAGTCCTGAAAGCACCAGCCTTTGGGGAGGCCAAGGCAGACCAAAACAACACAAGAATACATAAAAAGCTTTCTCAGTAGTAAGAAGCATTTAAAGTAGCTCAGGAAAAATCTTCCCTGAAGAAGCTGCTGCTATAACACATTTCTGTATATTAATATTCCTGGAAAATGCCTGTGAAAACCTCTACCCAAGGATGTGGTTCCCTCCTCCTTCAGTGACTGGAAATGACACGTGCTACTGACACGAGTTACTTCATTGGGTCAAGGGTACAGCTCAGCAGAATGTGCAGSAATGGTGCAAGCCAAGCCCAAGAGTACATCTCCCACACAAAAATGTCATTAAATTTGGAGTTTCTACACTAACGATTTTATTTTGTAAGAGCCCAAAATAAAAACTCATTAAAGCTAGGCATCAACCAAAAAAAAATAAATTAAAGCTGCCCATCTCATTTTATCACATTAGCATATGAAAAATGTGTTTACAGCAATAGACAAATAAGCAAACATATGACTCTTCACAGGAATCCTGCCATACTCAGCTCATGAACTAGATGATGTTCCCAGAAAGGTTTGAATTCCAACGATGCTACAGTTGTTAAAGACTTACTTCAGCTGTTGAAAGATCTAAAAAGTTCACTCAACTTTCCACAACAGTTAACACTTGCTTCAAATGCTTTTTTAAAAGCCAAACAAACTAGGACCAAGTAACTGAAGAAAACGCCCAAGGTGTCTGGACACTGACCAAACTCTTTAATCAGTTATTTTCCACAGCCTCTTCCACAGTGTTCGTCTGCAGGTGTGGGACAAGTTACTGAAAGAAATTTTTTTAGAGACACCTACTGCTTCTACCCTTTATCTGAGCAACCAACTACGAATTCTCAGTCAGGACATTCAAGGCAAGGCTGGATGGGGCTTTGAGCAAGCTGGTCTAGTGGAAGGTGTCCCTGCCCATGATGGGGGGATTAGAACCAGATGATCTTTAAGGTCCAGTCCAACCCAAACCATTCCATGATTCTGTAACTGAAGTAGCTCAAGTAAAAGGTCAGTGAAGACCACATTAGCTCAACAAAAACATCCAAGAAATTCCTCTTAGGAATCATTTCTATTAAAAAAGATCAATTTCATGTGCAGTTTGTAATCTTCTTTCAATGTGAAGAATTCAAAAGTAACTGGTGCTAGTAACTGCTGAGTAAAAAGCATCAGCAATAGCACTCCTAGAACAAATATGTTCTGTGAAAATTGCTAAAAGTTAACCTGTACAATTGGACCAACAAAGGCACACTTAAGAAAGTGCTGCAAACACAGACTTCCAGTTATTTGGATAGAATAAACTCAAGCTCGAAAACTCACCACCCATGCACAAAGCCACTTAAATGCAAGAAACAGAGTATTATAGTTGGCAGTATTTGTCAAACTCTGTACACAAACGAAACCTAGTATATAATCTTACAAATGCCAACTTAGTGACAATACTACTTAAAAGCAGAACACCTCAAGCTAATTATATTTACAACTTAAAACGGAAGCTTAAAAGACAAGAAATACCATAGTTATCAATAGCCTGTTCACCACAGTGCTTCAATCTTCAATGATCTGCAAGTCATATCTGTGCAAAGATTAACCAGACAGCTAAYATAACTCGATTCTACAGAGAAAGCAATAACTGAAGCGAAGAGCCATATAGTTTACATTATCACCAGACTACAAACTGTCTAAACTTTTAATAAATAGATTTGTAGTGTACCAGTAAACTGACAGAAAACTAGCACTTCTCATTTATAGCAGCAACTAAAAACATTCCCCTTTCCCACCACCAAAAAAAAAGAAAGAAAATATTAACAATCCTTGAAGTTTGCAGCAGAGATTTGGTTTTACAGGGATGTCTGGTACTCTCAGGTGAAATTTAAAAGTAGTATAACTTACTACAGCAATTCAAGCTGTGTAAATAAAGGTCTTGTTTCTTAATTTCTATATAAGCAAGAAATCAGATCTCATGAACTACAACAAGGAACTTCACACTGAAGTTTATGTTGTGTAAGAAAGAGCAACAAAAAACTTCTCTCTGATCTTGCACTATGCAACTTCACATTAACATACAGAATCACAGCTTCCATCAGTTTGYTAGAACCAAGGAATGTTTAAGTACACAGATTCATTATACTTGGATGAGATTTTACTGCTTCTAGTTAATATTTGCCATAACCTGACTTTTAACTGAACCATCAGCTTAGCAGATCCTGATCTAACTAGTGTGTTTATCRAGACAAGTTATTCAGCCACCATATTCTAAGCAAAAAACTCATCATAAAACTTTTAATTAGGTTTCTGAACTCAAAGCAGTCATGCAAGCTGAAATCAAATGAAGAACGGAGGACCAAACAATCATGCGTAATCACATAATATCTGAGGATATCAACTACTAAATTTATTTTGCAATTAATAATATTAAAAGCATTAGATCAAGCAACTCTTTTTTCAAGTTAGAGTAATTGAACTGAAAAAAAATTCAAAGAAAGGAAAAGTCAAAATAGACAGATGTATAGTTTAAGAAGGTATCACAGATTCCCATGTTAAAAAAATCTGTCTTATATCACAGCTGGGCCAAGTTTGAACACTGCAAGCTCTGTTCAGCTAGAGATGTGCAAACCAATCTTCACAAAGCCCTAGAAGTCACCTCAACCTTCCTTAGCATTTCCTTGAAATAMTCCCTTGATATATTCAGAACAGATGAGGGGCAGGTTACAGAAAAACTGGCTTCCCTGATACCAGAACATTCCCAATGTTCCAGTGACCTGAAAGTACCTCATCCTGTCAGCAGACACCTTAGTTATCCCACTGCACAGGGCTATGAGAAATTTGTCCTTGACCTACAGGGAGATGCAAGGGTTATGCTCACAGAACCACCCCCAAAAAAAAAAACATTCCCGAACACTGCCTTTGTTGTACTGGGATAAATATACACCTGTCAAACTAATATTAAAAATTAGTTAGCTGTAGTATTTCTTATCTTAACCTAATTTGATAGGAAAAATGTGTTTACTTATCCTTCTAGAAGTGAGTGCAATACTGACTGCTCTTAAGTTAAAGTTTTACTGGTTAAGTTTACTGAACAGTAATCTAAGATAAGCAAAACTCCAAAAGAAGCAGACTGGGGAAAAGATGAGAAAATACTAATTTACAAGCATGAGCTGTATATAATCAGATCATTTAGTTCAAGTTTATCAGCAGGGCTAAAAATACATATCACATGAGGTCTCTMTAAAATGCTAAAGACACTCAGAAAACATCAAATTAACAAAGCAAACGACACTAATCATATGAGCATGTTGCAAACATGTTCATTAAAATACTAATGCATATCAAATATGGACCAGTCAGCCAGCAGAAGGAATACTGATAAAAAAAAAAAAAAAAGCAACATTCTTTCAACACAAGGATGCTCACCTCCACCCAGAGCCCTAGTGAGGATGARGTAAAAGAAAGATTGATGGGAAACTCACAGCAACTTTAAATGCTTTAACACTAATGAGACACTACTGCTGTGAGTAACTGACTCTCCAGGCCCAACAGCAGAGACCTGTTTTAGAAACTGCRGGCAAGAACAGCCAGACATATCACCGTGTGTTAAACCCAAACACAACTTTCTGCCTGTTCTGCCTTTACCCTTTTGTTTCCCTTTTCTATCTTACTAAAGTCTGCCTTCTGTTGTACTACTCTGTTTGCCTGGTACTGAGGATATGGGGAAAGGAGACAGTCTGGTGAAGGTTAAAAAACCTGCTCTGTGCCAGCAGGCCCAAGCAGTCCATACCCTGGGAGAGATGCTTTGGAAGCTTATGCACTGAGGAGTATGTTCTGCCAAGCTGCAGAGGGTCAGCAGGGCATCTTCTGTTGCCAAATAGTACTTTCCAGAAGGTACAAATCTCAGCCTTTTCCAGGAGTTATCGACACTACACAACACAGCTCCCCRCTCACCCAGAACTGCAAACTCATACTATGATTTCTGCATGTAAAAGTGCACATAAAAGTCAGAGCACGGCCACTCCGAGCAGTTTGGATAATGCACAGAAACCAGCTCAGCCTTCAGAACACTGGGAAACACTTTGAACATCTGCAGAGTGACAACCCTGCGTTTGGCTGAGCCCTGCTGTATCGGCAGAGAGAACAATGAAGTGCATGAATAAAGCCCTCTGAGGCTCAGCTGGCAGTTTGATTTATTATACTCACGTTAAGCCTCCAATAATCATTCCCTGCATAGCTCAGATATACAAGAAGATTGGGTTTGGACTAACTTATTTCATTTCTATATTCTTTACATTA